CAGTCCCAGCTTTCAATGAATTTATATTCTACTTGGGGAGGGGGGTGGAGATAAAAACACGCACACAGAAAAGTAAATGTAAAATATGTAAAAAAGTATATTATCATCATCTTTCCCTCACCCTAAATCTCTTCCCTTTTCCTGACTTCCCCCTTCCATTCACCTCAAGTTTGCAACTCTGGAGTCCTCCTTGACTTTTCCCTCCCTTTTACCTCATATCAATTCAGTTACCAACTCATATGATTCTACACCTTTCTTGAACTCTCCCTTTCTTTCAATTTGCATGAGTAGGAAACTATTTCAGGTCCTTATAACCTCTTGTCTAGACTACTTCAACAATCCAATTAGTCTCCCTCCTTCCAATCTCTCCCTACTCTGGATTGTGAACCCAGGTTTTCCACTGAGGTCAGCTTTCTGTCCACCACACTTACTTTGCCCTCATATTTCAGTTCACCTGGGGGTCCTATAAAAGATCTATCCTGATCCCCTTAGTGGTGGGTGCCCTTAATAAGGGAAATTACTTTACATTGACTTTTTATCTATTTTGTACTTTGCATTGTTTTGCCCCTTAGTTTCCCCTCTGACCACTCTCCCAGTTCAGAATCTTGCTTCATGTTTCACTGAAAAAAAATTGAGTCCATTTGCCAAGAGATTCCTCTTCTCTCCTCCTCCTCAATTCATATCTCCCTTACACCTTCTGCTATTATCTCCTGCACCCATCCGATATGAAGAAATGGCCCTTCTCCTTGCAAGGCAACTCCCTGTACATGCACAAATGATCCAATTCGATCCTGACTATTCCAACAGATTGCCCACTCTAGCATCCCTTTTCTTTCACTTATTGCCAATCTCTTTTTTTGCTACTAGATGCCTACAAGATGCCCATATCTCTCCCCTTCTCAAAAAATCCCCCAAAACTTCCCCCTGGCTATTATCCCACATCTTGCCTCCTTTCTGTGGCTAAATTACACGAAAGGGGCCTCTACAATAGGTTCCTTCAGTTCCTTTCCTCTCACTCTCTCTTTTTTTTTTTTAAACTCTCTACAGTCTGGCTTTGGACCTCATCATTCAACTAAAACTGCTCTCTCCAAAGTTACCAATGATCTCTTAACTGCCAAAACAAATGACCTTTTCTCAGTCCTCATCCTTCTTGACCACTCTTAAGCTTTTGACATGGTTGATAACCCTTTCGTCCTTTTCTTCTCTTTAGCCTTTCATGACACTTTTCTCTCTTGGTTCTCCATCCTATCTGACTGCTCCTTCTTAGTCTCTATTTGTAGGTTCTTCTGCCGAGGCTTTTATCACCTTATTCCTGGACTACTGAAATAGCCTGCGAGATGGACTCCCTGACTCATCTTTCTTCACTCTGGCCCACTCTCCACTCAGCTGTTTAAATGATCTTCCTAAATAAAGGACAGGTCTGACCATATAACCTGCCCCCCTCCATTCAATAAACTCTCTATCACTTCCAGGATTAAGTATAAGATCCTCTGTTTGGCATTCAAAGACCTTCACAACTTGGTCTCTCCCCCCAACCTTACCAGTCTTCTTACATCTCACACCTCCTATGTACTCTTTGATTCAGTGATGTTGGCCTCCTGGCTGCTCCATCTCCTGCCTCTGGACATTTCCACAGGCTGTTCCCCATACCTAAAGTGCTCTCCTTCTTCATCTATGCCTCCTGGCTTCCCTGGCATCCTTCAAGTCCCAGTTAAAACCCTACATGCTACAGGAAGCCTTTCCCAATCTCTTTTAATTCTAGTGCGTCCTCTGGTGATTATCTCTAATTTATCCTGTAAGTAGCTTGCTCGTACAGTTATGTGCATGTTGTCTGCCTCATCAGACTGTAAGCTCCTTAAGAGCAACGTATGTCATTAGTTTTTCTTTATATTGCTAGTGCCCACACACTGTAGTTCTTTTTAAAAATTCTTTCTAAAAATTTTAATGGTATTTTATTTTTTCCAATTATGTGTAAAGACAATTTTCAACATTCATTTTTCAAAAAGATTTTGAGTTCCAAATTTTTCCCCTTTCTTACCTTGCCTCTTTCCTTTCCAAGACAGCAAACAATCTGATATAGGTTATACATGTACAATTATGTCAAACATATTTCCATATTAGTTGTGTACACAGTGGGTTCTTAAAAACGTTTATTGACTGACTAGAATGTAAAGTCCTGGAGAGCAAGATCTTTCTTTTGTTTCTTTTATGTTGGTATCCCAGTACCTACTACAACATCTGGCACATCTGGATTGTTGGAAAATGTTGCTTGTCCTTCGTTCTTGAAGAGGACCGTGGCATCAGGAAGATGATGTCATGACATGCAAGTGAACTGAATTTAAGTGAGGGAGGGATGTGCAAAGTTACCAGCCTCACTTTCTCCTCCAGAGCCATCTGGGTCCTGTAGCCAGATATGGATCAGGACAACTGAAGAGGGCCCAGGATGCAGTAGGGGACCTTGGCCTTTTCAAGCTAAAGTCTTTAACAGGTCTCAGTTTGACTGAGGCAATGCCCATTCAGTGATTGAGGTTTAATAAGAATTGAGGCAGAGAATGGCCTCTTTACCTAGTCAAAAATTTAAAAAGTAAAATTAGAGACAGTACTTTTAGCAAGGGAAAGCCTTTATAATTGGGAAGATCTGGCACTGCCTCATGGAGATGGGTGGCATGTGAGCTAAGCCTTGACAGGAGCAAAGACTTTTAAGAGTCATTCTTAAATGATGCAGAGGCCTTTGGCATAGGGCAAAGTCAAGGAGATGGAAAATGGAATGCTGTGTAGATGAACAGCTAATAGACCAATGTGGTTGGAATGGTCTGCAGTGGTGAGGAACCTGTGGCCTTGAGGCCCCCTGTAGCCTTCTAGGACCTCGGGTGCAGCGTTTTGACTGAGTCTAAGTTTTATAGAACAAATCCTTTTATTAAGAGGATTTGTTCTGTGAAGTTTGGATTCAGTCAAAGGGCCTCACTTGAGGACCTAGAGGGCCACATGTGGCTTTAGGCCTCAGGTTCCCCACCCCTGGTCTGGTATCTAAAACACAGGGATCACTCCTTAATTAACAATAAAGAATAGCAATTCTTTAAGCACATGCCAGAGAAGTCGATAATGAATTGATAGAGATTCAGCACTTGCCAAAATGTTGCATTATATTCTACTAGTTGATACACAGAATAAAGAGAAAGTTAACGATCTATTCTCTAGGTCTGTTAAGTTTAAGGTTCAACAAAGTCTAGGTGCCAGGTTACCGTGAGATATAGAAATTTCACTATGGTACCCCATTATTTTGGAAGTATCTTACCTGAAGTTACAGAAAAATACTTTTCTCTTATTCATGCACAATAATATTTTACTACCACTAAAACTTGAAAAAAAGAAGCCCATAGCACTAGCCAATTTCCCTTATTACAAGTAGCAATGCAGACCTCCTTAGAATTTTTGGCTGCCTTCATATCTGTTCCAGCTTAGATTTTGGCTCTGTGACTTATTAGGTTTGAAGGCACAGGTCAGGAGGAGGAGACCAAGAAACAGTTGGTAGATGTGCCAGGGCTTCCTCCTATTTATCCTTTCCAAAGGCTCTTTTGAGGCAGCATATGGTGGTGCATAGAATTCCAGACTTGGACTCAGGAGGACTTGGATTCAAACCCTGTCTCAGATACTTACAAGCTATGTGACACTGGGCAAGTGTGGGCCCTGATTTCCTCATTTGTACAATGTTGAAGTTGAACTTAATGACCTCTAAGGTCCCTTTCATCTTTAAGTCTATAATCCTAATATGGATCTCTTATCAAGGTTGAGAACCAAAACATGACCATATACTGTTATCCCCCCATTTTTCTCTATCTTTATTTTTCGTTCTTTACAGAGTGAAAAAGTTCAATTGGTTTTTAAGTTCTCAAACTGGCTCCTAGATCTATAATTTGTAAAGCCCTACTACAAGTTGTATTGTTATGTTACCAGAAAGTTAAGTACCTAGATCCTATTTTCTTAGCTTCTCAAAAGAAATATCTCTCCAAGTGAAAAAAAATAAACATTATACTTTCAGCTTTTAAAGAGATGGAAGTACTGTCCACTTGCAAAATGTTTCCTAATCTATATCATGACAGTAGTTAAGGGTGTTCTTCATGATGCTATCCGTGTTCCCAATATAAAACTACATGATATATTCCCTTCAATGACAGGAAAATTTTCTTCTCTGTAGACATAATGATGTGCTTCCTTTTATTGGTTAATAATAACTCCATAAATCAAGTAACTGGGACATGTATTTCTCTCCTCCTATTACCTATTTTTTTAGGGGGGAGGGGGAGACAGAGGATATTTTTGTTTTGAATTATTCTGTTTCATAAGTCATAGAGCCAAAATCTAAGCTGGAATATATATGATGGCAGCCAAAAGGTATTTTTACCTTATATAAGCTTTCTAAAATTCTTTTTTGGAAGCAAGAGGGGGATAATGCACACATGCATAAATAACAATGAGTTTTTTTTGAATGTGGGAAGAAAGACATTTTAGAAGCTGCATCTTTTTTTTTGCTTTTTGGTGAGGCAATCAGGATTAAGTGACTCGCCCAGGGTCACACAACTAGTAAGACTCATCTGTCTGAGACTGGATTTGAACTCAGGTCCTCCTAACTCCAAGGCGAGAGCTCTATCCACTGCACCACTTAGCTGCCCCTAGAATCTACATCTTTTCAAAATGATTATACTTATATTAATTGATGAAAGGGAAAGAAGGAACCTGTCAAGTTATGTTCTATCAACTTACTCGATCTCTGTCTTATGGATATGACAGACAAGGTGTCCTGTGGAAATCAGGAAGGAAGGACTATAACAAAATTGAGCAATCTTTTTCTTAATAGTTTGGAAAAGAGTTGATAAGTTTTCAATTGAAAAAATGACACAGATAGTTTGACTGTATACCTCTGCATTATTCATTTTTTCATAATCATGCTTCACTGAAAGGAAGAAAAAAAGAAGGTAGGGAAAGGGTTTTGGGGAACATACCCAATATGTGTGTCTTCAGTTCTTCCTTCACCACTAAATACACACCTTGCTGCTAAAATATCACCAAAGCTAACATCTACTGGGTGTTCCACAGGATAAAAAGCCTGTCCGTAAAACAAAGATAAAAATGCATTAAGGGAAACACGTTGTATAGAATCTTGGGCCTAATGTTTTTGTCTTCCCTTAAGAAGTTAAGACATTATTTTTTTTCATGGTTTGATAGGAAAGTTAATCCCAAGGTTTTAAACTTAAGAACACTAAACTTAAAAATAAATCACTAAAATCTGAAAAAAAAATTAAGAATCTGATTACTCAAATCTGAGAAACTGATTTTAAGTAATTTTTAGGATAGATACGTCTTCACCAATGTGTTTGCAATCATTCTGGAATTTAACAGAACAGAGCAAGGCTGGATGTTGAAGGGAATTAGAATCTGGTATACAAAAGCTATTCAAGAAATTTTAGGGAAACAATCAGTTGTTGTGGTTTTGGAGTTTTTTTGCTTATCTCCCCCCGCCAAAAGTTCAATTGCTTTTCACATACCTGTGGCAACTGAGGACTTTGTCGCCCTATTAACGTCCATTGTCCATTCCTTACTCTGTATCCACTTACTACTTTACCTACATAAACACATAACTATGATGAATTATTACTGATACCTTAGAAATACAAGAGTTATCATTGACTACTTTTAAATTAAATACATGTCTCTTCAAAAAGAAATCTTGTCTATACGTAAACCCTCCAATGTAATTTTTGGTAAACTGAGTAAAAATTTCCAAGTTATTCTGTAAAAGAGGTGTGGTTAATATATTTCATTCAAGATAACTTTGAGACTGAAGGCAATTTACAGCTTTCGTTCTTATTATTAGCATAACGTAAAGAAACAAACATTATATTTAAACAAAGTTGCTCAACGTTCTTACCCAAGTGGTGAGTGTGAACTCTATATGCAAAGAGGTGCATTGGATATTTTTTGTAATGGCATGAGACATCTGCATTGACCACTATTAGAAATGAAAAGAGAAAGAAAAATGTTATTATTTGGTCATTATTTTTGTTGGTTAGCTAGTTCACCAAAGACATTTTTGTAGCACAGAATGCAGAATATTGTTCCAATCTTCTCTGAAGGAACTTAATTCAACAAATATTTATAAGTAAGGTCTTCTGTATGAAAGACATTGTATTACTTATAGTAAAGACTTCAAAGAAGAATAGGAAACCATGCCAGGATCTTTCTTATCACATCCACAGTTCATAAACAAAGCTGACCAGGGTTGGACACCTAAAGTAATCTTAGAGGCTTTGGCTAGTACTTTAATTTTGAAATTTATTCTGCAGAAAAAGTAAGCTTGATGAAACCTGCCTTGAATTTCACAAAGAAGAGATTTGCTTTTTATTAAATCAAAACATGTAAATCAATAAGACTTCTTCCAAATCAATAACATCTTCCAAATAGTTTGAGCTCCACAAATATTACTAAAATGAACACATGGACATAAATAATGAGGAGGTAGTTCTGGTCATTAAATTTAAAAAGAATTTTTTTAACCAATCCTAGGATTTCAGGGCAGTTAGGTCATGCAGTAGATAGACTGCCAGGCCTGGAATCATCTTCCTGAGTTCAAATCTGGCCTCAGACACTTACTAGCTGGGTGACTCTGGGCAAGTCACTTAACCCTGTTTGCCTCAGTTTCCTCATCTGTAAAATGAGCTGGAGAGGGAAATGACAAACCATTCCAGTATCTTTGGCAAGAAAACCCCAGATGGGACCATGAAGAGCTGGACAAGACTGAAAGCAATTGACCCAACAAAAATTTCAATGCTGTAGGTGAAGCTCCCAATGAAAAAACTCCTTCTATGAATGCAGATCAGCACCTCTTCCTCAACTTACAGTTTTAGCCTAGTACATGCAGAAGTTAAGCGACTTAGTCAGGGTCACATAGTGATTATATGTCAGAGGAGGGACCTCAATTCATGTATTCCTAACTCTAAGGCCCACTCTCTATACACTCTGTGTCAATTTAAAAGATAATTTAAAGTGAAAATAATGGTAAAAATAATTTTGCTAATTATACTGCCTTTCTCTTCAAAAGTATGTTATATTACTCCACTTACCCTCACAATATCCCTCCAAGACAGCAAAAGCCAGAAATCATTATGCCCATTTTACAGACAAGGGAACTGAGGTTTAGAGAGTTTCAATGGCCTAAGGTTGATAAAAAAGCTAGTGCTGGATCTGCTAGTTTTCTGATCATAAGAATAGACTATGGTATTATCTTTTCTATAGAGCACTCTCAATTGCCCAGAGAAAGCACATCTGGCTTGCTCTTTTCTCAGTTTCTATACTCTACATTCTATTCTCTAGCCTTCTTCATTAGTACTTCAGTAACTGGGTAGAAATAGTAAAGAAACATGATACTGAAATTATGCCATTATTTAATGCGTTAAAGATGGTGAGAATGTCAATAAAGTTTTGAGATGCATGGGTCTCACTTGTGCCTCAAAATGTACTGATTTGTGTTCCTGTGTATAACAAGGTTTAGTTTTACTCAGGGAACAAAATTCATTCTAAAAGATAATGGTACTCTTGATGCATATTCCTGAGCCCAAGAGGCAATAAATACTGGAAAGATTTGTGATTTTTGTCAGCATGGGGAATTCCTACTTCTACCTAATCAGGCAACAGGAAACAAAGGGCCAGTAAGTACAACTAGGACTTAACAGATAAGACTAGGAAGCTGTTTCAAGCACATAGAGGATAAAGGATTTGCTTAGGTCACCTAGCTCAATCAATCAACCAATTAACACTTACTAAGTGCTTACTATGTACCAGGCACTGTGCTAAGTGCTAGGGATACAACAAGAAGCAAAAGTCAGTCTCTATCCTCAAGAAGCTTACAATCTAATAAGGAAGACAACTTGCAAACAGAAATATACAAACAAGTTATTGACAGGATAAACAGGAAATAATTACAAGTGAGAAGGCTCTGGAATTAAGAGTAATTGGGGAAATCTTCCAGTAGAAGGGGGGATTTTAGTTGGGACTTAAAGGAAGCTAGGGAGTTCAGTAGTTGGAAGGGGAGAAGGGAGAGCATATCATGAATGGAGGACAGCCAGAGAAAATGCCCCGGAGCAGAGAGATGGAGTGTCTTGCTTGTGGAACTAGGAGCTGGTGTCACTGAGGTGGATCTTGGACCAAGACTTTTTGACTCCAAGTCCAGTACTCTATTCACTAATGCATTTTAAGAATCGAATATCTAATAAGAGAAACTGTTAACATAACGTCACTCACCTTTCTCCCCTGGTGGTATGACAGTATCCACAGACATCATAAGATACATGCCAGCAATTAAAGGTTGCCTGTAGAAAAAAAAATCATGTTTATTTCATGTTTCTCAAAAAAGTACAAACATGAAATCTATCACTTTGTAAATAAAATATGCTATAAAACATCAGCTTAGCAAATGTTAATTAATAAACGACCTCTATGTCTTAGGGCATAATGAATGCAGCTATGTTTGATAGATGGATGAAAAGCACTAAAGTGGGAGAGTAAAGACATATAACATATACACTAATTTTCCCCTCAAATAATTAAAAAAATAAAATAGAACTAAATTATGATTAAAACTTACACTTTCGAATATCTAATATGACATAAATGTTGTCAAAATCTAATGAACAGTCTCTGCAGTTGGACGGGAGGAGTCTACGACACGACCTCTTCTCATATCTGAGGTACATTGGAGATACTTCTCATTGGAGTTGAAGAGGCTGAGGAATGGGGAGGCCAGGATGATTTAAGGGGGGAGGGATAGTTTAATGAAGAGACAATTGCAAAGTAATAGTCCCAGAGAAAGAGCGTGAAAGAGGAATGGGGTGTAAGGAGTATACTAATAAGTATGCTTTCTACCATGCCCAATCACTGGGTGAAGAAAAGGCAAAGATAATATCTTCATTTGTGCTCCACAGAATAAAATGCTTCTGACTAAAGTAATGTGGGAAACCCAAAACCAAAAGAAATAATAAGAAGCTACACCTTAAATTTCTAATCAGAACCACTGTCACATCTCTTCTGGTCAAATAGATCAATACTCATTTATATGACAGGGCAAATCCTTCACTTTAATTTTAAAATTCAATTTCATGTAATTTTTTTTCAAGATTGAACAGTATGCTATATTGACAAAACACTGATTGCTTACATGATAAAGAAAACATACAATGTAAAATACAGAAAAAGTTGATTCTATCTCCTCTCCCCACCTCCCTCATAATGCTCATCATGATTTGGTTGAAATAAGACTCAGAGCCAGTGATTCAGGTAGTAGTGTGAGACTTGGGTTCTTGGTTACCCCAATAATGCTGTTTTTCTCTGAGCTGTGAGTCAGTGGGGTAGGATAAAGGGGTAGGGTGGTACCACTGAGAACTAGCCAGTGATTAATTCACATTTTATAATTAAAAGTACTTACTGTAGACGTGTCAGGTGCAAGGTCACACCAGAACAATCCTTGTGGTTATCTGAAAATACACACAAAGACACACTATGAGTATGGCACATCAAGATAGAGACTTCAACATGATTAAATTTTCTTACCTCATGAACACACTTTACAATTCATAAATTGCTTTCCCATATGTTTTCTTAACTGTTCTCAGATATTTCACAAGTTGGAAAATTGATAATCCAAGTCAAACATCCACAGAGATGCAACTGAATAGTTCAATTACTAGCTCTATGCATATGACTCCCCTGAGAGATCAGTATTTTGGGGGTTCCTCAGCTCATAAAGAGGTGCTCTTTCCATACTCACTATGGCAATTCTAGGAGAAGGTGCCCCATTATTACGGAAGGATAAATCCAGATCCTAGTCTGGCTTACAAAAGATATAGACCTGGACAGTGCTGAGCTGAGGTGAAATATAAAATGCCTCTTCAAGCAGTACAACAAATTGCATCATGTCTTTGGAAGAGCACAATAGTAGTTACTGTTTCTTTAAGTTTATTTATTAATGTGTACTTTAGTCTCTTGCATTTACATTTTCTTTTGTGTAGAATGAATAAATAGCTGTCCAAAACCTGATCTACATCGTACCTTGGGTATATTTCTACTGCCCTCACCACAACTTTTGGAAGATCCTAGACATTTGCCAAAATAAGAACTTTAAGTAATTTTCCTGAGGTTGGGATGTAAAACCCCCAAAAGATAACGTGGCAAAAGAACATGATCTTTTCTCTGGAAGTCTGGCTTTTGCAGGACTAAACCAGGTCCACATCTGCCTAGGTCTAGAGCAGAGGGGTCCTTAGCATAGAGGGTAAAGGCAGGGTTCTCTTGTCTCCACTGGGACCAGTAGAGTTAAATTTTTTACACACACACACACACACACACACACACACACACACACGGCTCTACGATTTTTTGGTGGAGAGGAATCATGGTGAGGAAATTTCCTTTACTAATAATGTCAGTTTTACCACTTACAGTTTTAGAGAGTTGCCTGAACATTGAGGGTTTAAATGACTTGTCCAGAGTCACACAGTCAGTTTCTGTGAGTTGAGACTGAATTTAGAGACTATCCTTTCTACCATGTCATACTTCTTCTTTGCCTTACGTATCAATAAATGTTTACTGAATTGAATGAGTCTGACCTAGATGCAAAAATTCCACATACAATGACTACTGCTCATCATCCTAGTCTACATTCTTCTACTGGGTTCTTCATCAGCTGACTTTAGATTATTTCCCTTTTTATTTTATTAAATATGGTTTGCTCCTTGTCAACTCTATGCCTTCTCCCTTTTACTAATTCTTAATGACAAAAACACATTTCCCCCATTTTTGCCAAGATTAATCCCTTTTGTATTCAAAGACCTTTTCCTACTTTTTTTAATATTCTTGTCTGACATTTTATTACTTTAATATATAAGATCTGAAAATCTTGAATTTTCCAGAATTCAGTTTTTCTAGGATTTGTCTTTGAGTAGCTATAAATGTAAAGGAATGCATTTAGGTTTGAAAATAAACCTTGCAATTGAGCAAATCTAGGATTTTTTTTGGGTAGGAAAACATTACTGAAAAACAGTTTCTGTGAAAAGAACCAGAGGCCAGCTTGGTATGAATCAAAAGTCTAAAAGGGTTGTCAGAAGATGAAATCTTTAACTGGATTAATGGACTATAATTTTCAGAGTAAGCAGTAAGTCTTACTCTTACTCTAAGCTGTACTCTGACTTGATCAGACCCCATCTATAGTACAGCACTCAGTTCAGTGCACCATATTTTGGCAAAGTGACAAAGAGGGAATGTCACAAAGATCTCTAGTAAAAAGTGGCACCTAGGCTTTGCTTTGAAGAAGTTATCAATTTTATGAAGCAAAGGAGAGGGAAAAACATATATAACACGTATACATAACATACATAACCTACATAACATGCCATTCATAGTCTTTTTAATGAAAGGTAAGGGAGTTGAAAGGTGAGTCAGAATTAGAAAACGTTATCATAGGTTATCAGAGGAGGGGAGCAAATTTGTCATCTGATTTCCATTCAGGGCAGATTTAGGAATATTATTTAGTAATTACAGGTTCCCAGAGTTTAGAAGAGATTTGAGATCAGAAACCATCTGTTCTATACCATGGCTAAATAATGAATTCACTCTGTAGCATCTCTGACAACTGGTCATCCCTTCTTCAATTGAAAATATCAACTGATAGGGAATTTATTTCTTCCTGGAGCCATTCATTCCACACTGCTCTCTTCTTGTTTGACCATTCCTTCTCTGTCTACTTTGCTGGATATTCATCCAGGTCCTACCTGGTATACTTGAGATGTCCCCAAGGCTTAGTCCTGGGGGGCTCTCTTTCCTTCTCCTCCTAATTAATCCACTTGGTGATCTCATCAGTTCCCATGATGTCAACTATCCTCTCTATGCAGATGACTCTCATATTTACTTGTTCAGCCCTAACCATTCTCTTAACAAATCCTCAGTATCATATCTCCGACTGTCTATCAGACATCTTCAACTTCACATGTTCAAAATGAACTCATTGTTTCCCCTCAAACCCTTCCCTTTTAATATTGAGGGTACCATTATCCTCCTACCCAGTCACCCAGGCTCACAACCTAGGTGTCATCCTCAATGCCTCTCTCCCAATTAGTTGTCAAATCCTGTCATTTCTACCTTTACACATCTCTCCTATATGTCCCCTTCTCTCCCATGACACTGCTGTCATCCTGTTGTAGGCCTTCTTCCTGCAAGTTGGTCTCTTTGACTCAAATTTCTCCTTATTCTGATAGAACCTTCGTTTGTATGTCAAATTGATCTTCATAAGGGCAGATCTAACCATATCACTAATCTCTTCAGTAGAATCCAGTGGCTCCGGCTCAAATATAAAAATTCTCTGTTTGGCTTTTAAAATTCTTCACAATCTGGCCCCTCTTTCTTTCTAGTCTTCTCACACCTTACTTGCCACCATGTCATTTCTGATGCAGTGACACTGGCCTTGCTGTCCCTTGCACACAGTACTCCATCTACCAACCCTTGAGTGTTTTCATTTCCTGTCCTCCATGTTTGGAATGTTTTTCCCCTTCATCTCCACCTCCTGGCTTCCCTGATTTTCTTCACGTCACAGCTAAAGTCCCAACTTCTACAAGAAACATTTCTCAGTCCTCTTTAATCCTAGTGCTTTCTCTTTGAGACTACCCCCGATATATCCTGAATATATCTTTTTTTTTTAACATGTAGTCATTTATAGGTTGTGCCCTTTGGACTGTGATATCCGTGTGTGTGTGTGTGTGTGTGTGTGTGTGTGTGTGTGTGTGTGTGTTTGTGTTTAGCACTTAGCCCAGTGTCTGGCACTTATAAGTACTTAATAAATGCTAGTTGACAGAATGGCTAACTAACCCTGGAATTACTAGTGATTCCCCTCTCTCGCAAGTAATCACCAAAGAAATCATTCTGTGGCTATACCTATTTTGTTGTTGTTGTTCAGTAGATTTTCAGTCATATCTGACTCTTCATGACCCCATTTGGGATTTTCTTGACAAAGATACTGGAATGGTTTGCTATTTCCTTCTCCAGCTCATTTTGTAGATGAGGATACTGAGGGAAATAGGATTGAGCAACTTGCCCAGTGTCACACTGCTAGCAAATGTCTCAGGACAGATCTGAATTCACAAAGACTAGTCTTCTTCACTCTAGACCCAGCTCTATCCACTGTATCACCTACTGTCCTGAAATATAATATATGATCTTAATTGTGTTATGTTGTTTTTCCCTAGTAAGGTTCTTGAAGACAAGTACTGTTTCATTTTTATCTTTATATTCCCCAAACTTAGGGCAGGGCCTGGCACATGCTAAGCGCTCGACAAATGCTTACTAATTTAAATCAAACAGAAATAAATTATTAATGACTTAGCTCTTATTTACATAATTACCTGGAGGAAGATACTAGTGTGATTTCCTTATAAGGCTGTCTAAACTTATAGAAAAGAGCAAGAATATAGTATCAAAAATTGCCCAGTGTGGATGACATAATAGTGCCTAATCTGAATTATTGATTATGAAAAGCTATGTGAAACAAATTTAAAATACATATTTAGTTATAACATCAAAAACAAAAACTTGTTCAATATCTGTAATGAGGAAAACTCACTTTAATTTTACTGGAGAGCAGGCAATTTTAATATAATTGAAGAAAAGTTTTTGATATAAAAATGCTAGATTCTTTCTTTAAGTAATTTTTAATAACTAAGTGAAATATGCACATAAATCATGATTAGGTTTCCTTAGAGACTATTCCCTTTCACCCATGACTTGTTTGAACAAAACAAAATACCACCACATATGACAAGACGTATTAAGTATTGATATGGGCATTTTGATCTAACATACAACACAAGTTGGAATATAGATTGATTAATCATATTTGATACTTTGGTAATCAAATAGCAAATATCGATGTCCATCAATACTTTCTGTATTTTCTGTAATTTCTCTTTAGGTTGGCATTTAGAGTCTTCTTTAGTCTCTCTCCAAAATATCTTTCTAGCCAAAATATCCCTTTCAAATGCTTTATGTTGTCTCCAGACTCACTGATGTCTCCTTTCCTAAGCATAGTGTAACCTTTTCTGCCTTTATTCTTTGCTCATGTCATTCTCCATACTTGGAATTGATTCCTTTTAATCTCCAATTAATGAAATTTTACCTGTTCTTCAAGAACAGATCAAATGCCATTTAACTCTATAAAAAATTCCCCAACTCCTTACTCTACCCTAACCAGAAATAACCCCCTTTCCCTGAATTCTTATAGGATCTTAAACCTCCCCTATACATTTAGCATCTTTGATTTTGTTTTATAGTTAATGACTTGCTCAGGGTTACAACCAGTTTTGAGTTCCCTGTGTGGTCATAAGTCTTATATTACCTAATAGATTGTAAAATTTCAGAGCTTTGTTTTCTAAATGATTTTTTTAATGATAACATTTTGTTCCATGAGTTAGTCATTATGTCAGTTGGTTTTGAT